CAGCCTCTCTCCCCCCATCTCTCTCCGTCTCCTCCCTCTTCGCCGCCCTCTCCATGCCGCCTCAGGTCCAGCTGGCTGTTCCTTGCTGTCCCGGGAATGCCTTGGAGGCCTCCAAAGGCCACCAGAGGCGGGGCCAAAGGCATCCACAAACTTCAGTCCTCGACCCTTGATCTTCCCCCCCCGAAGGATCTCGCGCGGTGGACGACCGCCAGAGGGAGCGCGAGCGGGAGGACGCGGAGCGCGCACGGGTGGATGCGGAGCGCCAGCGGGTGGCCCGCGAGTTGGAGCGCGCGAAGCGGGAGGAGGAGACCCGTGCCCCGAAATTTGCGGAGGAGGAGGAGGAAGGGGGGAGGAGGGAGGAGGGAGGGGAGGCTTCATTGCTTGCTCCCGAGGACCTGCGTGGCCCCTGTAGAGTCTTACATCCTCCCTCGCTCCGCGCTCGAGAAGCAGCGATGCCCTCGAGGGGCCTAGGGCTTGGACACCCCGGGCCTCGTCGGAGGCCGGCGGAGGTGGAGCGAGGTCGGCTCGGCCGGCCAGCACAGGGTCGGCGGGAGCCTCGGCGTCGCTCGGACGTGCGTCGCGCGCTCTCTTTCTTTGTCGGAGAGGACCATCGAGTGGAGGGTCTCTTCGAAGGGCTTAGGCGACCCGTCCTCCTCCTCCTCCTCCTCGCCCTCCTCCTCTTCGCCCTCCCCTCCTCGGGTCGCCTACGGCCCCGGGGGAAACGGTCCAGATCATCGAGGAGCATCCTGGAATATCTGGCAAGAAACAACACAAACGAAGCCGAAGCATGCACGGGGAACGGACGTCCGTGCGATGGCAAGGAGCAGGCGGGAGCACGGCCGGATTTTTGTGAATAGCGTGTCGCACTCGCCACGGCGGCCTTGCGAGCGGATGGCGTGTCGCTCCGCTCCGCGGGGCGAGAGGCTCGGAAAGGCTCGTGGCGCTGGCGCCTCGGGGCTGGGAAGCGGATAGCGTGTCGCGCCGAAGCGTGGTGGGCCAGAACCGGCGGAGCGACACCCTGTCCAGGAGCTCAAGGGATTCTTGAATAGCGCATCACGCTATCCAATTTGCGGCACCGAGGGTTCAGCATCTCGAGTTTTTTCCGAGCCTCCCGCCCCGCGGAGCGGAGCGACGCGCTACCCGCTCGCAGGTTATGGCATAGCGTGTCGCAAGGGCCGCGTGATCCTGACCGTAGAGGCTGGAACCCAAGAGAGAAGCCCACGCCAGTGTTCCTGGGAGTTCCGCGGTCGGCCGTCTGGGCGTCGTGGGGATCGAGCACACATCTCGAGCTCGTTTTGTCTGCCGCGCTTCGATTCCAGGGGCCCTCGCGGGCAAATCTGACCCGAAACGAAGCGCGCATTGAGCAAAGATTTGGCCGTGGGCCGCGGAGGACCGCCTCTGCTCGCTCCCGTCCCCGCCCCCTGCCCGGCTGTCCCCGTGAGTGTTGAATTTTGCGGGTGTGAAGCCTTGCGTGGGTGCGGAACCTTGCGTGTGTATGAAGGGGGAAGCCCCACGGGTGGGAGCCTACTGTCGGGAACTTTGGGATAGCGTGTCGCTCCACCAGTTCTGGCACACCACGTTTCGGCGCGACACGCTATCAACCTCCCGGTCCCGAGGCGTGAGCGTCTCGAGTTTTCCCGCCGTCCCGCCATGCGACACGCTACCCACTCGCTCGGCATAGCGTGTCGCTGGGGCCGCCGCCGCGACACGCTAAGCAAAAGCTCCTGACCGTAGTCAGGACCTCGATGTGTGGAACTATTATGTGAACATTTGTATATATTCACACACACACACACTGGGGTATCCGGGCAGATGCCAATGTGCCTTGGAGGGCGTTTCAGGTCTTCGTTTTGACCTGGCATGGTCCCATACCTCAGATGTCTGACCTGGAGGGCGGCCAAGCCAAGCCTTCGTTGTAACCTGGTGTAGCCCCGTGTGTGTGGCCCAGTGGGGGGGGCGGGGGCGGCATTCGTTGTAACCTGGTTTGGCCATGCATACATGGCCCAGACGGCGGCCTGGCCTTCGTTGTAACCCTGTGTGCCCCGATGCGGCCCTCAATTCAGAGGCTTGCTGAGGGCCGTGCTTGCCTGGAGGGCGATTCGGCCTTCGTGGTAACCTGGTGTGGCCCCTCCCCTCGACTGCCGTTCTATGCCCCCTGAGCTTCCCTCCGCCTCGCCTCCCCGCTCCCACCCTCCTATCTCCTTTTTGCGAGTTTTCCATCATTCCTTCCTCCGCGCTCCTCTCCCCACTCTGGCCCCCTCGCCCTCTTACAATTCAATTTTTTTCGTCGGTTCCAAGTTTCCGTCCCCGTTGCCTCCATCACCATTCTATCCTCTCCCTTCTCCAACCCTCCCCTCACGTCCCCTCCCCTCCCTCTCTTGTTTATCCCAGCTGCTCCCTTGCTCCCTTCCCCTCCGTCCCCTCGTTGTTGGTAGGGGACGCAGCTGCCAGAAAGCACTCGTTGAGTTGTTCTGCATATTTCTAGGTTCCGCGCCCGGCCGGTGAGAATACAACGGCCTCCTATTGTTTGCGCAATCGGCCTCTTTACGGTTGCCCGTAGGTTGCGCGCTCGGCCGAGCGTAAAACGGCCTGTGATTGGTGGCAGCCGCCGGGAATCGAACGGCCTCGCAACGATTGCGCCATAGGTTACGCGCTCTGCCGTCGAGAGCAAAAACGTTATCATATTGGTTGAGCCTTGGGTTGCGCGCTCGGCCGCAGAGAACGAAGGTGCCTCTCATTGGTTGCGCCATAGGTTGCGCACTCGGCCACCGAAAACAACTTTGCCTTGACATCGGCGGGGCGAACGTTCATCTGAAATTTCAATGGGCTTGGACTTGCCAAATGGGCACCAGCCCCCCCCTTCCCCCGTAGAATCCTATCAAGAAGTGCGTTTTCGGGTCCCTGCCATCGGCGGGATAATTCGATCATGTGGTCCTGGGCCTCTATAGTAATACAAGTTAGACCCCAGTGTCTCGCAGATCTTGGCCTCAATTCTCCCATTGGTTTCTCACATTCGAAATCATTATCCAGGGCCATTCCCGACTTCGGCTTCAGGTGATGTCGGTTCTCTGCATTTTAGACGACTTTGCCTGCTGGCGGACGTATTGGTGGCGCCATATGTTGCGCTCTCGGCCGCCGAGTATGCGACGGCCTTCTATTGGTTACGTCATAGGTTGCGCGCTGCCCGCGTGCATTTGCATGCTCGAGTGCCTGGGTGAGTAATGGCGCATTCCTCACAGAGAGGGGGGGAATGATGGGATGGGAGCATCGCGTGGGGGGGGAGGCGGGCGGAGCGGACAAGAGAGGGGAAGGGATAATGAAGCCAAGGGGGAAGCCCATGCACTGGGTTTCCCTTCATGCGAGTCGCGGTCGCCGTCACTCAGGGACGGGTGACGCAGATGGCCCCAAGAAGTATTAGGGCGGCGCTAGGAGCGCCCTTCGCTGGCAACTGACCCCTCGATTCCCCCAGAGGTTCCTTACGTTTGCCCCCGCAACAGAAGTACCGCCCAAGATTGCGCGAAGACTCCAAAACACGTCCGTCTAAGAATTCCCAGAGTCTTCCAGGAGGCTCAAGGTAATCGACGCGTTGAAAATTGTTTGTTCGAGTGTTGCGGTTTCGCGACCGTGGAGCGTTCAGCATGGTATTCGGGCTGCCCGAGACAGCACTCTAGCGAGGCCCGCTGCAGCCCCACGACGGCCTAAGGCCTAAGACTATATACGATCGGGATCTTGTGAATAGCGTCAACGTCCCGAGTCATTCCGAGCCTCCCGCCCCGCGGAGCGGAGCGAAACGCTACCCGCTTGCAAGGCATAGCGTGTCGCCGGTGACGCCCGTGGCGACACGCTAATCAAGAGGTCCCAGCCGTAGCTCGAGAAGATTCAAGGCCAGTCCAAGATAGCTTGAACGCCTTCACACCACGGGACCAGAATCGCAAATCATGTCTAGACGACCTCATCCAGACGGCCCGCGGACTATTCTGAACAATTCCAAACTATTCTTGCCGCGCTCTCGACGACCAGACCTGGCCCCCCGCAAGCCCCGAGAAGCCGTCCCGAGAGCTCCAAAGTGTTCCCAAGGACTCTCAGACATATCGCCACCCTCCCCCCAGTTCCCACAGCATAAGCACAATGGAGCGGAGGTCGGTGTCTCTCCTCCGCTATCCCGCCTCTTGCTCCCTCCTCCTCGTCGCTCCTACCCCTTCATATCCCTTCTCCTCCTATTCGTGCCCTCTCCCTTTCTTCCATTCCTCTACAAATCTCGGGCCTGTGATTCGCTAGAACCTAAGCGCGCACGAGACGCGCGCGTGGTAGTCCTATGTGTGTGGATGTGTGGAACTCTTCAGTGATGCACTTGCTAGCTTACGAGTCCCGTAGCCCGTAGCTGCTGATCAGGTGGTTGAGCTCCCTACCGCGTCCGAGGAAGAAGTGGCTGGAAATCCATGCGGATGGAACTCAGAATGCGGACCCCCTTGGACGTAATCCGATGTGTGTGGAAACCAAGATGTGTGGAACCCGATGCGGGTGGAGCCCAAGTGGTAATCTGATGTGTGTGGAAACCCAAATGTGTGTGGGTGGAGCCCAAATGGAGGCCCGTGTGTGCACGTGCCGAGCCCTCTTGCGTTGCTGGGTTTGGCCGTCCCCTAACACTGGAGCCCACGGCCTGCCTTGGAGCGCACCTTTCACACGCGCCATCGGCTTGCGCTGTCTGGTGCTACTGACCACCTGAGTACACCACCGCGTCGTCGGAGGACAAAACTGTGTAGAACCCCCTTTGTGCTTGAATGTGTGTGTGCGTGCGGAACCCCGTGGCGGCAGCGGCCAGAACCCAGTAGGTCCGACAGCTGGAGACCGGCACACTGACCGCCAGCAAGGGCCAGACACCCATGGCGTTGACGGCCGGAATTCGACACACAAGGGTGGGCACAAAACCCTTCAGGGCAATCACTGTTTTGAGAAAGTCAGTCTAGGTAGATGTAGGATTCTACGGGGTCCCCGGGGAGAGGAGAGAGGCGGGACACACTATTTCCCCACAACCTCATACTAGCCACGTGGCGGCCTGAAGCATTGATCGGTTTGTACCCCAGGAGTTCTCGACGACCCCATCCCCCGCACCTGTGTCCGGTCGCGGGCCCGCCGCTGGCTTGGTGGCCCTTGTGGGCCGAGAGTAGCAGCGGTCCGGAGACAAAGGGCCGAGGCTGCGCAGAAGAGCCCGTCGTGACCTGCCCCGCGACGCGGGAGGTCTGGCCCCCGCTCTCTCTCTCTCCCCGCCCGCCCTGGGCACCCCCAGGAGCAGCAGCGGCTGGAGGAGGAGGCCGAACAGCGGCGGCTGGAGGAGGAGAACCGGCGCAGGCGGGAGGAAGAGGAGGGCCGCCGCAAGCGCGAGCACGAGGATCGGAGAAGACACAACTGCGTCACGTCACCCTTATTTTTTCAGACCATCGCGCGAATTTGCTTGGATTGGCGCTGGGCCCCCCCCTGGCGGCGCTTCCCGCGCCGCCCTTTGCGCGCTCCGCGCGCCAGGGAGGTCCAGCGCCGATCCAAGTAACCCGCGCGGACCTTCGAAAGTTTGCGTCTATATTGGCTTGCGTTTCTCTAGAGGAGGAGCTGAGGCGGCAGGAGGCCGCCGCTCGCCGGAAGGAGGAGGAGGACAAGGCGCGGCCGGCCCACCGCTCTAGCCTGACGCGGTTTGGTTGAGGATCTTTCGCGCTCAAGGCTTCGGGGCGGGCTCAGAGATGACGCGTGTCGTCCCTGCAGTGAGCGATTGCTGCCACGACAATGCGTAAGCACGATGCCGGGCACGAGCACCGGTAAGCCAGATGTGCTGGGAATGGGCACGCAGAATCATGTGCGGGAAATGGGCTGCATTCTGGCCGAACATGTGGGGTTGAAGGGAGTGAGCGCTACCGCCAATATACGGCGCATCGTGATTGTCCCCCCGTCCCTCTCCCGCTCGCTCTCTCTCTCTCTCTCTCTTTATCCCTCTCTTTCTTGTTTGTCAGTATATATGTTTTTGCTGTTCTCTCTCGTTCTCTCTCTCTCTCTCTCTTTCTTCTGTTTCGGCTCGAGGGTCTCTGACCCTCGGCTCGAGGGTCTCTGACCCAGCGCGCAGCCACGACACGAAACGCCCAGCAACACCGTTGTTCGCATCGCGATATTGGACACAAGCCATCCCAGCGTGCGAGTGATTCGTGCCATCCCCCTTCAGTATCCGCGCTCGCCATGGCTTCGAAAGATCCTCGCCACGCGCCCCCTCCACCACGGCAGCCCAAGCCACCAGGCAAGGGCCACCAAAAGGCTTCATCTACATATCGGCACGATACCAACCTTAGTCGGAAGGAAGCTTGCGCCGCCGAGCTCCAGAGCAGTGGTGGCGTCCACCGAGCACTCGTTGCATACAGGGACCTCGCTCACAAGCCCCAGGCTGACACTGATACCACTTACCAATCATACCGCTCCGACCCACGTACAACGTTCAGGGGCGAGCTCATGAGATTGTGCGGGAAGAACAGAATCAGTAACCCCATGCTGCGTTGCTCCCTCACGCGCAAAGAGGCCTAGGCCGTCCGTGACACACCGCCACTAGGGACCGCGGTCGACGCCGATGCCCACCAGGGTAAAGGCAGGGCCCCTCTCGTCAGCCTGGATGCACACGACTGGGATGTCCCCGTTACCGCCGTACCCGAATGGGAGGGCGACCGGACGTCGCGCACCAATCGCATCTAACATCACACGCGAAAGGAAGGCGACCGTTCACTACGACAGATTCGCATTCAGGACGGACCTCCCGCGCTCGAAGTATTGGGGCCCATCAACACGGACTGCCCAGGCAAAGAGAGCCGAATCCCATGTCTCCGTCGCACGGCCAGCCTACGCCAGGACGCATCCGAGGGACCATCTACCACCTGGGAAGGAGAAGGTCAAGTGCATCCAAGCGACGTCCAAGTTTCCCTCCGCCCAGCGGGCAACGCCGTCTGGATCCACGCCCTCATATGCAAGGCTGACGCCACCGCGGCCACGCCTGCGCTCGAGGATTTGTTCACGGGACAGGTGTCGGGAGCTGCGCCGGCCAAGGGCACCCGCGACCCAAAGGGGCAAGGTACGGGTAAGCAAAGGCGAAAGAACGCCACAAATCAACCAAGAAGGACGCCTTACACAAACAGCTTAACGACGACCTCACTGACGCGTTCACGGCCGCGTTCACGTCTCATTCTTCACCGTGTAAGTACGACAAACCATGCAGCTGTCAGGGCGTCATGGCACAGCGGTAGCGAATGCAGGCTCAAGGTTACCTTTGGGATTAAGCTCGCGGGCGTCCCTCTGATCCTTTCTTCCCACTCTCCGCCCCCAGGCAAAGAGGCGCCCCGTTCGACACAAGCTTCCGCTGCTCCAAAGGGGCCACCTTTGTTTGTTATCCTGATGGTCATTGGACCATGCTCCAGGAAACGTGCGACCCCTACGCCAAGCAATAAGCTGTCGGTGTTGTCCGAGCGGACAACGGAGTGGTCATCAGAGTCAAGGCAGACACCCGGGAAATGAGACATCCCAGCGGATCTTGCACGGGCCTGTTCGCGCACATATTGTCGAGACGTCTTGCTCGAGACGTTGGTTTTGGCTTCCCACGATTCCTCCGCCCTTTAGATCCCCATGGGCATTGCGATGTAGCAAGCATGGCGCTGGGGCATCCCACGGGGGGGCCGCTGGGAGGTAATACGCAGGCCTGTTCGCGCCCAGATTGTGGGGACTTCTCACGCGAAACGCCGGCTTTGACTTCTGTTTCGCGTTATTTTTTTGATTTCTCTCTCTCTCTCTCTCTTTCTTTCTCTTGAGAGCCTCATGACGACGGCGATGTGGCAGGAATGGCTTGCGCGAGCCCCAAACGATCCTCCAGGGAGTGTTACACGGGCCCGCTCGCGCTCATACTGTGGAGAAATTGCATGCGAAATTATGGTTTGGGCTTCCCCCCGCTCCTCTTCAACGAGGGCCCCATCGTCACGGCGATGCAGCAGGCATGGCCATTGCCCAGGGGGGTCCGCCAGGGGAGACGCAGTCATGATCGGATCTGCTTGCATTCAGGCCCAGTAGTACTCAGCCAGCCGTGCGCAATGTCAAACGCATTCAGATTCGCCCTCGCCGGACGCCCACAAACAGGGACGCGCGTACAGGGATCCCCGCGTCGAATCATTATCTTGAGATGTTTCTGTTTGTTTGGGGGCCCGCAGCGGGCCTCCAGAGCTCCAGACTGTTTGGAAACCAAGATGAACGTTGCGATCTCCTTGTGGCGGACATGGTTTGGGCTGAGGGAGGAGGGCAGGGGCAGTTGACCTCGGGCTTGTAATCTGCCGAGCCCAGGCCCGGCGGCTGGAGGAGGAGATGGCCAAGGCCTCCCGCGCATGTGCATTGCAGCCTCCGCCCAGCTGCCTCTTTCTGCGGCGGCCTGCTGCCAGCTTGGGACGGCCCCAGGACAGACGAGGAAGTGGAGGAGGGAGGAGGAGGAGGAGGAGGAGGAGGAGGAGGAGGAGGAGGAGGAGGAGGAGGAGGAGGAGGAGGAGGAGGAGGAGGAGGAGGAGGAGGAGGGTGGAGGAGGGGGAGGAGACCCAAGCATTTTGACACCCGGCGTCACCAAGAATTCGTTTTGGCTTTCTAGAAACCCAGTTCGGCCTCCCGGATGATCAAACACTTCTCGGGGACGCAGTTTTTGTCTCGGGGGATGGGGTCGAGAGCTCAGGGGACCAACGTCGCGACAACAGCAACAGCAACAACAGTAGCAGCAGCTACAACAACAGCAACAGCAGCAGCAACAACAACACCAACACCACCAACAGCAACAATCATTCTACGATTTCGTTTTTATTGGCTCCCGTGCCATTCGACACGTATATTCCAAATCTTCGATGCCCGCCCTGTCCGTCCTCGACCGTTCCGCCTTGTGGCATATTTTTCTTACCTGCAACGTGTATTTCGTGCACGAGCGAGAGCAGCAGGAAGGGCGCGAGGAACAGAAAACACGAGGCAAAACCAAACGGGCAGATCGGGCGGGTAGATCCCAACGGGCGGGTTGGGATGGCGGGCCCAGGCAGCCAGGTCGATCAGGCGGGTTGCTGAACCGTGCGTCCTGCATGGATCTCGAGGAAATCTCGAGCGATAGCGCGATTCCCAAATAAATCGTGAGAAATCCACACCGCGCGCGTGGTTCCTGACTGTCGAGGGCGCGGCGTCTGAATCAATTGGAGGATGTCCCACGCGACGCTGCGATTATTGCATGAATGGTAAAGAACTGCCGTGCGAGAGCGCGATTCGGGAATACAATGTGAGGAAGTATCAGACGGGAGCCGTTGTTGTTGTAACTCGGGGACCAGGGGATCAGTTTGGTGGCCCCACACTGTCCCTGGTAAAAAAAACAGGGTGCGAGACCACAAATCAGCACTTTAATTAAACAAACAATGGTTAACGGATGGGGGGGCGCAACAGTAGTTATTTTTCAGAGAGTGAGAATTCAATAACAACAACGACAACAACAGCAACAACATCGGCAACACAACCAACACCAACAGCAACACCAGCATCAACAACACCATCATCATCGTTAATACGAACCAGAACACGAGCAGCATCAATGCGACGCCAGCGGTCCAATGCCCAGGGCCTGGGAGGACGAGGGATTTGAGTAAATCCCACATCGCTCAACGATGCTGCAGGACACCCTCCCGTTCCAAACCCCCGTCGTCGCCAGTCCTTGCATGCGTCCGCTCTGACTGCGCGGAGCGCCCCCCCTGAAAAGATGAACGCCCCGTGGGGAGCTTCGTTTTTTTCGGGCGGGGGCTACGTGTCCAAATGCGTGTCCGAGGGAAAACGACGCCCTCGAGCTCTAAGGGATGCGACGAGCCAGGGCTTCTAAGCTGAAGGATGTGCCCAACAACAGCCTCGCTTTGACAGGAACCGCTATCTCTTCGTGTAGGTGTTGCGTAAGTATGGACTCATGGTCATACTTGCGTCGGAGTCTCAAGCCATGGCCCCTTTTGCAAGGGGCCGTCCTCCATCGGCGCGATCGCTGCACAACGTTTCATGGTGCTGGCAGTCTGTCTGAGGCAGTGTCAGGCGAGATCCCCGCGCTGAAAATGGACCACGCTCTATCCGCGCTGGTCGTGGAGACGTTGAAACCGAGCGCGCGCGAGGCCTAAGCGGGAACTTCATTTTGAAAACGGCTCGCCGTCCATCCCTTATAAGTGTAGGAGACTTCGAGTGCAAATGTGCGCGGGGCCAAGGCGATGGCTTTGTGCGTGAACGGCGCGCTGCATCGCGCGCGCAAGATGCCCCTCGGCGCGCGCGGTCGACGCTTCGCGCCTGCGCGCGCAGTCGCGGCGCGAGGGGGGCCGCGACGCGCGCGAGGTCCCGCGCGCGAGTTGCGCGTCGCCGCCGCGCTGGCCTGCGCGAGGGTCGCGGCGCGGAGGATGGCCGCGACGCGCGCGCGGTTCTGCGCGAGCACAGCGCGGCGCCGCCGCGCTGACTGGCCGCGCCCAGCGCGCGCGGTTTTGCTTCGCCCCGCCCGGGCCAGAGGCGGCGAGCAAGTTCCAGCCGCAGGTCGCTGCGCGCGCGCGGGAGGGGGGGGGGGGGGGGGGGGGGGCGCGCGCGCCCCTCCCCCGCCGCGCGCGGTCCTCGACGCGCTGCCCAGCCGAAGGCGTTCGGCGCCGGGAGCAGATGACGCGCGGGGTCGAAAAGGCTGCCGCGCTACTGCGGGAATCTGGCCAAGCTGCCAGCTGGGCCCAACGGGCAGCCCCGGGGGCTGCCAGAATCGCAGAGGGCGCGAACGGTCACTCGACCGAAATGAGGTTGAAGATGGCCGCGTGGCGCGACCCGGCGGTCGCCCGCTTCCGCGCGAAGGGCGCCCCGCGCGACGGGGCCTCGCCCACTTCTGGGGCGGGGCGGGCGGTCGGCGAAGCCCCAGGGCCAGCCGCGGACCCCCTGGTCGGCGCCATGGAGAGGAACGCGCGGATGTCCGCGCGCAGTCGGCGCGGCGAGTTCGCCGACGACTTGTTCGCCAGGCGCGGAAGGGCGCCGAGCGTGGGCACGCGTCCGCGCCGCGGTCCCTCGAGTCGCCGGACACGGACGGCGCGCTCGGCGCTGGCGCTTCGGTCCGCGGCGGAGCAGGGCCCGCGCCCAGAATGGGGCACGAATTTCTGCGCAGGGGGCGACTGCGCGGCGCCAGAGCTGAACGCCGCCGCGAGCGTCTCGGGGAAGATGCGATGCGACGCCGGAGAGTCGGAAGAGCTACCCTGAAGCGGGTCGTGGCAAGTCCGCGCGCCAGCGCGGCGCTGCCCTCCGTTGCGCGGCGCGTCCGCGCCGGCCGCTGCCCCGCAGCGCCCGCGGGGCAAAATCGCCGCGAACCGGGCCCGACAGAACATGTTGCCGTGGATCGACGCCCTCGGGCTGAATCGATTCGAGCACAGTATATGACTACCACCACCGAGATCGATAATAATATACGATGCGACCTGGTGCAGTTTTGCTCTGGTGAAAAGCCCGCAGCCCCCCTCCCGCCGCCGACGGCAACCGGGCTGCCCCCTCTCTCTTAAGGGCCGAAACGGAATTCATCAAAGCACACGCTGGTGCAAAACATTTTGGTTGCCAAGAGGAGCGATTCTATGCGCCACCACCAAGAAGTGCTGTTTCTGTTTCAGGAACTCCCCATGCCACGGCGCCTGCGAGCTGCGCCGCGCTCCTTTTCGCCGTGGCGTCGCAGCGCCGTCTGGCATGACCGTGCCTCTCACCCATTTTGCGGTGGATTACTGTTGCGGGTGGTGGTGGTGCATAAAAATTGGCTTCGCAGAGTCGCTCCGAAGCGCGCGCGCCGCGATTGGGCGAGCGCCCGCCGGCGCTGCTTTTCGCGGGCGCCAGGGGCCGGCGGGGCTAGCGGCAGCGTTGGCGGCGGGCGTTTTTCTTGCTGTTTTGTGCGACGTCGCGCCGCCGCCGGAATGGGCGCGGCGCGCGCCCCGATCTCGATTTGCGCCCGCCCGTGGCTTTGCGCGACGGCGCGCCAGGTTGCTCCGATAAAGAGCCATCGCCGACTTGGAAGCCCTGGCAATTGCGCCGGGGGTCCGAGCTTTGCCGGGCGAGCCCGCGGCAGGCGGGTGAGAGCGTTCAACGATAACGCAGTCACGCAAGGAGTGGCCGTGAGAGGCTCTGCCCGCCGCGTCGATCACATCAGTCTCGCGCTTGCATTCTGGGCCACTGCCGTGGGGGAGGCTGGCAGGCGCTGGCCATGAAGCACAGCATTGCTGACCTGCCGCCGCGGGAACGCTGCGACCTCCGCGGGCGCCTCGGCGCCGAGCGCGCCGCGCCGCGACCTTTCCGGCGGGCCCCTGGAGCGCGGCGCGGCGGCCCGCAACTGTCAGGCGTTTAATGTGGGTGGCGCGCCCGCGCCGATTCGTGGGGCGCGATCTGGCGGCGCGAATGGTCGCGCATCTGTCGGGCACGTCGGCCGGAGACCATTTCGCTGCCCTTTTCCTCGCAGCGCCCTTCGCCCGCGGCGGGCGCGTCGCGGGGGGCGGCCCCGCGACGGGGCCCCGGCCTTCGCGTTGTCGAGGCCCGCGCCCAGCTGCCGAGGCGCAAGAATCGAGGGGCCGCGTCGGTGGTCGCCTGCTGTCGCTGGCGCGCCGCGCGCAGGGACGCGTGCCCCGCGCGTGCGTTGGCGGGGTTCGCCAGCCAGCGCGGCGCTGGCGAGGCCACCTTCAGCGGCGTCTCGAGCTGGCGAGCGGTGTCCGGCCAGCGCGAAGCGCTGGCTGCGCAAGGGGCACCGCCGGCGGTCGCGCTTGGCACGCGCGACCTGCGGCGTGGCCGCGCCCAGGATTCAGTGGGCCGCGGCGGCCGCCTGCGGGCGAGAGACCCCAGCAGCCGGCGGCGGTCGGCGCAGTCCGGCATGTCTCAGCCGCGCGAATTGCGAATGTCTAGCGCAAGGCCGTGCTCGAGGCGCGCCATGCGGAGTCGCCCCGCGACGACGGCGAGCGCTAGTGGTCGCGGCGGCAACGTTTTGGCGCGGGCGCCGCGCTCAGGCTTGCGACCGCGTCGCCCTCGGCGCGGCCACCGCGCGGCGCGGGTGCCGTCGGCGTTGGGCATGATGCGCCCGCGCGCCGCGGCGGCCGTGCCGGCGCGGGGCCGCGCGCGCCTCGGCGCTGGCAGAGGCCGCGCGCGGCGCGGCACCCATTGTCGCCGCGCACTTGGGGGTCGCCCTGCGCGCGCGCGAACGGCGCGTTGCATCGCGCGCGCAAGATGCCCCTCGTCGCGCGCAGTCGGCGCTTCACGCCCGCGCGCGCAGTCGCGGCGCGGTGGAGGCCCCGACGCGCCCCGAGTCACGCGTCGCCGCCGCGCTGGCCTGCGCGAGAGTC